CACAGTGCCTAGGGACCTATCCATTTTTCCTTTGTACCAAATCAAGTCTTTGAGTTATGACTCCTGAGGAACCCTGGTGGGAAATGTGACCTTGTGCATCATCACAAGTGCTTTTATTTATAAAAGGAACCTCCCTCCCTCTCACTCTCTCTCTCTCTCTCTCTCATGGTTCCAACAGGGAGGGAGCTGTCCTGAAGCTCTGGGTGAACGTAAATCGTTCCTCATGTCCCATCAAAGGCAGGCTGGGTGTCACCGGAGGTTCTTGCCAAAACTCCAGCAAACACTTGCTGATGTGGCGAAAAGGAGCTGGGAATGGTGTGAGGCAGGACACTTAAAGGTACCAGGGATGGGGGTGGTAAAGGGGGGTACGCCAGAGGGGTCTCTCTCCCTCCAGGGCCGAAGGCTCTTGGGCGCCTTGCCAGTGTATGTTCCCTGCCCATTAGCCGAGCCCCCTGCCTTCTCCTGGGGTTACCTTAGCCAGTGAGATGATTATCTGCCTGGCAGGTAGTTGAGAGATGGAGGTACAGAGAGGGCGAGAGACTGCTCCTCGGAGAGGCTGCCAGCCCCAGCAGCTGGCCCCCGAGACCCGGAACGCCCAGGGCCCAACAGAAAGCATCCTGCTTCCCCTCCCGACCCGCTGAGCAAACACATGAGAACGGCAGGTGCCCAGGGCAGCTGGCCAAGCACGGCTTCTGCCCACCACTCCATCCGCCTCCCGCCCAGCCAGGGCCAGCCTGAGCCCAGGCCCAGGAACCTCCCTGGCACTGGCCCTGCTCTCACCGTCCAAGCTGGCAGGAGGGAGGACAGGCAAGTCGGTCCCCAAACAGGGAGCTCCACAGCTCTTCGGTGGGGCGGAAACAGCACATGCCAGCAGCTCTGGGGTTCTACGGTGTCCTATTTTGCATATTTTAAGGAACTCACGTGGAGACCAGGAAATTGACAATGCCTTCCCAGGAAACTCACCATGGCATTTCAGGGATGTCCACTGACCCATGAGATCTCAACCGGACAGACCAAGGGCGCTGGAAGGGGTGTCAGGTAACCCTGGTCACAATGCGTAAGCTTGGGCAGGCCACGTGCCTTCTCCTGGCGGAACTTCCACAGCGATTTTGCCGCTGCTTGCTGAGGTCCCCGCAGAGCGCAATGGGGTGACAAGAAGCTGTCCTTGCTGTCAGGCAGCCCTGGACAAAACAGCTCATGCTCTGACGTTCTCGGCCGGTGCCCCTGGTCATTCATGTGATGCCTCTGAGCTGAGTTTCTTCATCTTCTTGCCAAAAAGGGCAATTTCTCCCTGTAGCGTCTTGCAGTGAGAATCAAATGAATATGGCCAAAAAGTGCCTATCAAAGAGCACATGCTGAAAATATGGGGGCTGCTGTTTCTACGGCTCACCCACGGTCAGTTCTTAAACTGGTATCTGTCAAACTGTTTTCCCTCTGAGGAATATAGCAGGAATATGGCCTTGGCGTTGAAGACCCAAAGAATTCAGCAAATCAACAGAGACTGAGGGTTTAGCTTCTTATGTAAAACTAGGACCTCAGCTAGTCCACTTCCCAACACACACGCGCGCACACACACACACACACACACACACATGTTCTCTCTCTCTCTCCCTCTCTCTCCCCGTCTCATTCACTGCTTTACTCTATTCATATCCAGCAAATGGCACCTCTGCTCTTACAGAAAACCAAGTGAACGGGGAATGGCACTGATCCCAGCCAATCAGAGATGTTCTGAATGCAGGAAGCAGGCAACATGCTGGACGCATCCACCCAACTTACCCTCCTCAGGCCGTTCAATCATTCAGCAAGGACATGATATAACAAGCAATGCATGTGGTACTAGGCCACTCCTGCCCTTGCAGAATTCAAGTCATCGAATACTTGGTATTGATATTCCCAATTGTATCTATCACCAAAAAACGCTGCATAACAACAAAACCTCAACAGCATAAGCACTAAGTGTCTGTGCATCTGGGTGGTCAGGCAGGCGGCTCTGACGATCTTGGCTCAGGGTCTGGGAGTTGGTTGACTGTCAGCTAGTCTAGGCTGCTTTCAGCTAGGAGGATTAGAACACCTCGGCCATGTTCTACGTGTCTCACCTTTCTCCTAGAACCAGAAGGCTAGCTTGGAAATGTCCTCCTTTTGGTGACGGCAGAGGTCCAACAGTACAATATGTCTATCAACAACACCTCGCTGGACAAAGCCAGCCACACGATCTAGCCCAGCACCAGAGAGACAGAGAACAGGTGAAGAGTTGGAACCATTCGTGTAATCAATTCACCACACCATTTTATAGAGAGAAAAGGGAAGATACATATAATTCTGCTACTCATATAAAGTTACCGAGCTAAGTGTCCCAGGCAGGATTTGAACTCAGGCTCTTTGGACTGTGCTGAGCCCTATGCTGCTGCCATGGGAGCACAAGCATGGAAGAGAGGCAGCGATGACTCGGAACGCCAACAAATGAACCTGATGCTAGACTTCTGGCCCTGCCAGGGAACAGTTCGGTGCATCTTGGGTACAGACAGCTTCCGTGAGTGTAGAAAAATAGCCACCTCGGCCAAGACTTGCAGGCTGAGACCTAAATTGCAGGTTTTAGCATCAAACACACTCCTTTCCCCAGTACAGAATGAGAGCAGAGAGCAATGAGTTAAAGTGGCTGGAATCAACCACGCTTGGGAGAGCAGGTGTGAACCAAGCAGTTCCACAGAAAGGATGTGATCCCTACCATGTTCCCGAGCTCCACAATTGCAGGATAACAGTCACGCAAAGGCTCCATGTTCGTTGATCCACGCCTCCTCTTCTGCACCCCCAAATGTCCTCGTTTTACTGGGGATAGGGAGAGCATGCAGCAAACCATCTCTGCACAGGGCCTGCAGCTCTGCTGTAGCTGCCGGGCTGAGAACTGGAAAGAAAAGACCAAACAGGAATCCAAACGATCACCTAGCATCTGCCGGGCTGAGAACTGGAAAGAAAAGACCCGATCACCTAGCATCCGATCACCTAGCATCCGATCACCTAGCATCCGATTCGGTGGCTCTGGGCTGGGGCCCGGGAGTTGATATTTTTGACAGTCGCCCCCAGGCAATTCCGATACAAGGATCTTTGGATCACAGTTTGAACCCCTTCTCCCCAAAACAGCTGTCACATCACTCTGTGCCCTACAGAGACCACACGTGCCCGAAGGTGTGCAGCGCTCCCATGCTAGTGGAAAAGCAGACATCCATACAATGCAGACGCACACGCACACACACAGAGGGGAGGGGCCGTAACGACAGGAGCTAAGAAGTGCTTCCCACTTCCCGCGGCAAGCATTATTTTATGGCTGTGCACACATTATCGCGTCTCAGCCTCACAAGAATTTTATGAGGCAGGGGACATTTTTATCGCCATTTTTCAGATGAGGAAAATCAGGCACAGAGAAGTTAAACGTGTCCAAAGTCCCAGAGCTGGTAAGTGTGGCGTCCAGATGCACCAGCAGACATTCTGACCCCAGAGCCCGGGTTCTCTGCCTGGATGTGCTGCCTGCCACCAGTAACGCCCTTATAAAGACGAGAGTAAACTTGAACTTGCCCTGTGGCCCCAGTTCCTTAAAGCAAAACTGCTAAGATCATGAACACTTTGAAGCCTCTTCAATGGGAAATGACTTAGTCGCATTATCTCATTTTCTCTGCCAACCTCCCAGCATCCTGTCAAGCCATCAACCAAACTGGGGAGGCACAGCTCTGCTGGAGCTACGCCCTCCACTTCTGCAGACAGAAAAAGGAGCTTCAGAGAGGTTAAGCAACTTGCCCACAGCCACACAGCCAGTCCAAGGCCCAGCCCTGTACTTGAACTTCAGTCTCATCTAATCTAGAGGCCAAGCTCTGGTCTCTTCTAAAATGTGATTCATGCGCCTGTGTCAAGGCTCTTGGGGATTCGAAGAAAATGTCAACACCCAGGCTGAAAAATGTTATGACCATCTTTACTGGAGGGAAAGGAACTTCCTGTGCAGTTATTAAAAGGAATGAATTGGGGCGGGAGTAGGACTGGGAATAGGAAATACGCAGCTTCCCAGCACAGGGGATGGTTAGCGGCAAGGAGATGCTCTGTGCTCAAAAGTACATTCCGAGGCAGGGTCGGCCTGCGTGCAGCCGTCAATGCCAGGGCCACCATGGACGTCCCCTGGGCTGGATGCTGGCTCTAGGTCTGCAGAGCGCTCGCTGTGGACGTGGCTTCTGAGGACAGGGATGGGCCTCCAGCCAGCAGCCGGCAAGACGCACTCTTTGGCAAACTTCCCTAGGATGGACTATGGAAAGATTTTTTTTTTTTTCCCCTCCCTACCCCATATTTCTCCAGCTTGGGGAAAAACAGAAGAAAAAAAAGAAAATGGGCCTCCCTACCCCAAGAGAGAATATAAGAACTCATAAATGGAAAATCCACAGACCAAAAATGAAATTCTAAGGGAAAAAAGTCATCATTTCCGATTCGGGCCTGTGTAAGTGTCTCGAGGGGGCTCGACCATGACCCGTCTGGTGTGGGAACAGCAGCGTTTAAGAGTGGGGTGGCAATCGGGCCAGGTCAGGAGTCCCTCTTGTGGCCGAAGGGATTCCCACCCACCTCAGGACAAGGAGTGCTGGGGGCCTGAGTCCCCTGTACCCAGTGGCTTCAGCGAGATTGCTGCTTCGGACTTGGTCATTTCACTTGGGACGCATCTGTGAAACGGAATCATCCTAGTCACGGCCCCCAGTCTCACATCCTGGTGACTGCTCGGCGTGAGAACGGAGGGGAGCACCTCTAACTCTGTGAAGCCCTGTGCACATGGGCAGTGTTAAAGACAGTAAGGATCCCCAGCAATAACGCTGATGACGTTCACCCCGGGACGAAGGGTCGTTCTGCCTCTGATGAGGACAAAAGCGTAGCTGTGCAGAGGGATACAATGCAGTCTAGGGGACACTGGGGTGCAGGCTTTAGAGCCGAACTGCCTGGGTGGGAAATCAAGCTCTACTACTAACTAGCTGCGTGACCTTGGGTAAATCACTTAACTTCTCTGTGTCCCGTTTCTTCATCCACAAACCGTAGATACAAATAGTCCCAACTTCAGAGCACTGTCGTGAGGCTTAAATGATCTAATCCGTGGTGCTCAACATGTGTTAGCTATTATTATGAAGCTGGTGATCGGAATACTATAAATAGTAAAATATTATTCACCAATGTCTGGGCCATCTTGGAACTCAGTATAAGCAGCTCCTCCGAATAGAAGTACTGTTGAAGGAAGAGTGTGCTAAAAATACTTCGGAGATGTTTCAAGATAGTGGAGGTATCCATTTAAAACAGTGCAAAATGAATGCGCTGAATGCTCATGTAAGAGTTATTTTAATGAGCAACTATAAGTAATATGCCTAACATGGTAAGCAGGCCCACGGCCTCTCTCCTCCATTCTGACACCCATGACTACATCGTGGGCATGGGTAACGGGTGTCACTAAGCACAAGGCACTGAGGGAGAACAAGGGACAGGGCAGGGAAGGCCCTACTAATGCATTTATGGTCAATGGGGACTTGTGCATCACACTTCTAAATGCCAGTACCCCCGGGGGCTCTGTGAAGGCTCCAGGGATGAGACGGCTCGTGAGCAGGGCCCTACAGGGTTGGCAGAAGTGTGAGACGTGGAGCTGGGAAAGCTGGGGCGTGCAAGGGGACAAATGCCCAGAGGGAGTCCCGGGAAATCGGCCGCAGAGGCCGGCTTCTGTCCTGACTGGGGACTGCAAATTCTTGGCTGAGGGGTCTGCCCTGGATTCGGTGGGAACAGGGAAACCACAGGATGCCGGTAGCTGGGGAGCGAGTGATGCAGGCAAAGCGTGCTTCAGGGAGGTGCATCTGGGAACAGGGTGCACAGTGGGAAGAGAGAAGGTCTGGATGTGGGGAGACCCTGTAGAAAGCGAGCCCAGCAGTACAGGAGGTGACATCACGAGCTGAACCCCACATTGTGGAGGTAAAATCCACTGAGTGAGGACTACAGATGGCAGGAAAGATGAACCATTTGGAAGATGGTGGAATCGCCTCATTCAGGAGAGCCTGGGACATCGAAAGGGAGACACTAGGCACTTAGGGTTCTCCCGGGGAGCAGCAAACTCATGGTCATCACCCCCATCCACGGTTTCGCTTTCTGTGGTTCCACTTACCTGTGGCCAATTGTGGTCCACAAATATTAATGGGAAATTCCAGAAATAAGCAATTCCTCAGTTTTAAATTATACACCATACTGAGTAGCGTGAGGAAATCTCACGCTGCCCCGCACGGTCCTGCCTGGGACGTGAATCATCCCTTCGTCCAGCGTCTCCACCTGTAGACGCCACCTGCCCGTTATCACCTCGTAGCTGTCTTGGCGATCAGACTGCCTGTCATGGTATCGCAGTGCTTGTGCTCAAGTCACCCTTATTTTACTTAATAATGGCCCCAAAGAGCAAAAAGAGTGATGCCGGAGATTTGGATATGCCAAAGAGGAGCCGAAAAGTGCTTCTTTTAAGGGAAAAGGTGAAAGTTCTCAAGGCGTTTTATCATCTCACATCATCCCAAGAAGGAGAGTGAGTACAGTACAATGAGATATTTTGAGAGAGGCCACATTCATATAACTTTCATTAGTATATTATTGCGAGTCTTCTACCTTATCTTTAGTTACTGTTACTCTCTTCCTGTGCCTAATTTATGGACCAAACTTCGTCATAGGTATGCATGTAGAGGGAAGAACATAGTACACATAGGGTTTGGTGCTATCTGCGGTTTCGAGCATCCACAGGGGGTCTTTGAGCATGTCCCCTGTGGATGGGGGGGGCAGCTACTGTTTTCTGAAGTCAGAAGAGAGGGGACCAGAATCTGTGTCCCCAGCCGCTATGACTCTTAGTTTTCCACAGCCCCCATAACAAATCACACACGTTGATTACCTCGCAGTTCTATAGGTCAGAAGTGAGAGGTGGCTCCGCTGGGTTCTCCGCCCCAGGCTGCCCAGGTGGATGGCAGCTGCCAGCTGCCAGCGGGCTGGGCTCTAACCAGGGGGCTGTGGGAAGAAACCTCTTCCAAGCTCAGTCATTCAGGCCATTGGCCGAAGTTACGTCCCTGCATTCTAGGACTGAGGCCCGTTTCTTTGCTGGCAGTCAGATGGGGGCGACCCTTAGCAACTCGTCTCCTCCCTCCAGTTCTTGCACAAGTGTCCCCACATTTCAGAGCCAGCAGCAGCACCCCGAATCCTCCTACCTGGAAACTGACTCTTCTTGAGGGCATCCTTCTATGCCAGAGCAAGTTCTCTGCATAAACCTTAATTACACCTGCAAAGTCCCTTCGCCACGTAAAGGAACACATTTTACTCACAGGCATAATTCCAGAATCAGAGTGTGGACAATTTGGGGGCCATTCTGCCTACCAGAGCATCCCAGCTTCTCCACCGGTAGCTGGCAGACACCACACAATAACTAGTAAGGTGTGTTGAGCACAGTCCTGGGTGGCAGCCGTGGGTTCTAAAGGAATCGTGGAGAACGGGCACTTTGCCCAGCCTCGGGGAGGGGGCACACGGAACAGGGAAATATCAAGAAAGGTTTCCCGAATGAAAAATGAGATTATCTAATGGAAGCGGAAGATGAACAGGAGTGAAGGGAAGTGTCACCACCAGATCTGGTCACTTACAGATCATCAGAATAACATTTGGAAGAAGCCAGAAGCCAGAATAAATTCAAAGGACACGCGCCAGGCCTGAGATGTGGAGAGTGTGGCAGGAGCCAGCCTCCCTGCTCGCTAAGAGCTGCTGTCACCCTCCCCTCTTCTGGCGAGGCGGATCTGCCCTTCCAAGAACCTTCCAGAAGCAACGGTGCACTTTCATGGAAACCTCACCACGGAAAGGAAAGGAGCTAAGTGACGGCACGTGCTGGCCTGAGGAGGAGTCTGTGACACAGGAAATGAAAAGGACACGCAGATTGATGTGTGTAACAAGTCTCCAGTTTCCCAAATGAAAAGGGAAAGTGAGCTCCTGTGAGGTGCATGGGGTTCACGAAACCGTTTTTAAATATTCAAGAATTCTGAGAACTAGTTCTTAAACCTTTGGTAGCCTCTCAGCCATGGCAGGATTTTGCCACCGAAATCAGCAAACCTACAATTCAGGGCTTGTTTTCTTTCCTGAGAGGCTGAGCAGCACAGCACTGGGTGCACAGAAATTTCCAGATAAGACGGATTATCTCTCAAGAAGAGACGGGATGGGTTTCACGGTGGTGTTTGTTGGTTCCCATCCTTATACTAATTTTTTAATTGGTGCAATTACAGTGATTTTTTGTTTTTGTTATTGTCCAGATATAAAAAAATACTGAATATAAATGCAGCCTGCTGTAATCCCTATTTTCAGGACCCTGCCCAGGAGGCAGCTACAGCATCCTGAGCGCCGAGCCTGCCTGCAGCCGGTCCAGGCACAGCCGGCTCTGAGACTCGCAGACGGACAGGAACCACCGCCCGACCATCACAGGCTGCTCATTGCTGACCGCAGTGCTGGGAACCGGGCAGCTCAGGCCAGCCAGACGGCTGAAGTCCTCCAAAGGTCCTCCCAGGAGGCTGGGCATGCTTCCTCTGGGAAAAGATTTTCATCAGCTGCAGTCTGAGACGCGGACCTCATGCCTCATCTGCTACAATCATTATGAATCATGCCGGAATTGCCAAGGAGCAGGAGAGCTCGCTCAGGGCCCGCCGGCTCTGCTCCCTGGCCAGCCCTTCTCCTCGTGCTGTCAGAGCCTGAGAATTTTAAGGGGGTGGTGGTCAGGGGAGGAGACCCCTGAACTGCAGACAGCAACACCAACCACCCGCCCCGCCGACGTGCAGCTTTCGCATCTGTAACGCTCTGGGGAACACACTCATCGCAGCCCCCGCAGCATAACTCTGAGAAGGTGGGCTCCCGCGCTGTGGGCTGGATGCAGGCCTGGTCGCCCACAAGCCGAGGCTCTGTCAGGCAGGCCTCCCTGCTTTGCCCTCCTTCTGCTGCGGTACCACCCGGAGGAGAGATTTTTCCACCTGTCGCACTTCAGTTTCTTCCCTGCGGCATTTCGCCAGCCGGTCAGCTCAGAGCTAGGCTGCCAGGGGCTTCCAGAAGCCTAACGGTGGAGACAGGGGCACGGACGGACAGCTGCCCACCTCCTTGAGAGAGCCTCCGCTGACCCCCAGCCCGGGTGCCTGGCACGGAGCAGCTGATCACGACAGGACTGCTGACCTGTGGGGGGACTTTATCCAAACTTTTATAGCACTTTTTCTTATCATGCCATCATGCCGTGTTAACGATGTGCCTCCTGTTCTTCTGCCCCATAAGGCAGACCTTTTTATCCATCGTCGTTACGTCTGAAAGACTGAATAATGAACTCTCTGCACACGCTGCAGTTCCTGCCACACTCCCATATTCTACGACGCTGAAGCTTTTTGTGGCTTTTCACTGTTATAAATATCACTGTAGCCAACATCTTTGTGCATAAGCGAAACAGGATTCTGAAAACTCTGAAAGGAGTCTACTCATTTCTGACTGTTACAAACTCCCAGGATACCTGCTCAGTCACATGCGCATCATCCCTGACTCGGGGAAATGGAACGCCAGGCAGCGACCTCCTGTCTGACAGGCGAGAGCTAAAGATGGCTGTCAACATGAAGGAGGTAGGTGATGTGCAGGTCTGTTCACTCAGGCTGAAAAATTACGGAGGTGGCAGCGAACACATTCTGACTGTGCCATGAACCGGCCAGCAGGCATGCTGGGGTCTCAAGAAATTACCCGTCACCTCAGCTACCATCGCTGCCCTGGAACAGACAGAGAAGGTTCTATCAAGAAGGCCCAGGGGACATCCATACGTGATGCTTTGAAAAAACAGCTTCTCGAAGCCTGACCTAGGGCCATGAGGCCCTAACCCAGGCCAGGGACATGTGAGTCTGCGTCCGCGCTGACCCTCCGTCGGTCTTTCGACCTCTCTGAGTCTCCATGTTCCCATCTGCAGACGGGTGGGGTGATGACCGGAGGATGCCTGAGGTTCTCTTTCCGCTGTTCCACAAGGCTCTAGAACTCAAGCAGACAGGAGGGAGCTGCCGACCCAGGAAAGACAGGTGCCTGGCCTCACCTGGATCAGAACATCAGACCCTTTGTACTTCAGAGCCTCCCAGCACTGCAGCTGATTCTGGAAAGCGTCACTATCTGGCCAAGATAATTGCTGTGTGTCACCTGCGTGGCTTGTTGAATTGTAAGTCCCGAGAGCAGGACACAGTGTGACTCATCTTTGTCTCCCTATAACCCTAACTGTGTGGGGAGAGTATACGAGAACTCACACTGTATCATTTGTCACAGCAAAAAAAAAAAACTGGACACAATTTAAAAGACACCGGCAAAGAATGACTTAACATTAACCATCACCCAACTACAGAAGATGACAGATCACACTTGCGATGGAGAGCAATCCTTACTAATACAGACGGATGTCCACCATGTATTCTCCAGGGATAAACTAATTACAGGACCACAAAAGTGCACCTGTGTAACCATGCGTGCCCGTGAGGGACAGCTACATGTTGTTCATGGAAATCCCTGAGTCTTGGGGTTTTAGGTGAATTTTTAAATTTTATCCTTTGTCCATTGCTGAATTCTTTAGTTTTCTTCATAATTAGTAAGCATTCCTACCTAGCAGCATCTAAGGCAGGAGTCATCAAACTCTGGCCTTCAGGCCAAATCTGGCTGCCACCTGCTTTTATTTAGTCCCCAAGATGAAAACGGTTTTTAAATTTTTAAATGATTGGGGAAAAAAATCAGAAGACTAGTGAAGTTGAAAATTTCCGAAATTCAAATTTCAGAATTTGCGCAAAAATCCAGGTTTACTGGGACACAGTCATACTCATTGGTTACGTATTGCGCAGGGCACTATGGCAGAGCATGGCTGTCACAGAGACTGCATGGGCCCCAAAGCCTAAAATATTTGCTCTCTGGCCTCTTGTACAGAAAGTCTGCCGATCCTGGCCTAAGGAATCACCTGCTCTGAAAACCTCTGCCAGATCCCTTCCCCACAACGCCACTCGCCAGGGTCCCACGTCTCACACTGATTGCAACCCACAATCGATCCTCATTATTTGCAAATTCTATATCTGTGAATTTGCCTGCTTGTCAAAATGTCTCTGTAACCCTGCATTCATGAATATCCTCAGAATGGCCAAAAAACTGTGGGCCACCCAATGCCCACGCTGCCAGCTGAGGTGGAACCAGGTGAGGCTGCTTCTCGTTTCAGCTTCAGACTGTAAGTAAGTGTCCTTTCCAAGGTCCATGGACTGCCTCGTGTCTGTGCTTCTTGTTGGTGATTCTGTTGTTTAAAATGACCCCTAAGCACGGTGCTGAGGTGCTGTCTGGTAATCCTAAGTGCAAGAAGTCTGTGCTGTGCCTTACAGAGAAAATCCTCAGGATAAAGGAGCTTCATACAGGCATGATTTATAGTGCTGTTGTCCATGAGTTCAATGCTAATGCATCAGCAATATATATTAAATAAGGTGCCTTTAAACAGAAACACACATAAAACAAGGTTATGTATTGATTGGTCCATGAGAATGTCGCCAAAAGACATCCAGGAACCTAACCCTGTATTTCCCCTGGGGCAATAATTCAGTATTTGCGAACTCAGTATTCATGGTGACTTTATAGATCATAACTATGGCAAATAATCAGAATCAAGTATATTTGCTTTCATAATCTCTCCCACCACCACCACCCTCTACGTACCCCACCAATTCCTGAGTTCCGTGGGGACAGGAACTTGCTCATATGTGTCTCCTGAATGTCCATGACAGAATCTGGCACAAAGCACGTCCCCCTTCACTGACATGATGATGAAGCAAGGGGCAGTGCAGTGTAAGAAGGGCCTATGCCATCATCTCCACCTTCCCTTCCAGAAGGTGATGGTACCGTGTGGCCTCTGAGTCTCTGATCCTCTGGGACCTCACACGCCTCTTCTGGAGGATGGGGATTGTTGAGGGGATTCAGTGCTCTCATACGAGTGAGCACTTGGCTCTTGGTGCCCAGTGGTGACTCAGTGAGCTCGGATTATTATTTTGAAAAATTTCCAAAGAAGATGCCCCTTTTTTTCACTTTTAGAAAACCGTCACTATGCTTGACCACACTCATTAGCAAAAATCCTTTCCCATGCACTGACCAAAGTCGTCTTGCAGATTCTTAGTTCTCAATAGAAAACCTAGAAGGGAAAACAAAGAGCCACAGAGCCCAGTGGGAACCACCATAAACTTGTCAGTCCATCAACAGCTTTTGGCAAAGCACCGTGACAGACACAGGAAGTTTACGAATGAGGTCGTGAAGAAAAATACAGAGACAGGGAAAAAATGAATAGTCCTGTAAGGTGAAGCGACATTAGAAAAGAGGAGGAGAAAAATCCCACAAATAATGACGTGCAGAGCTTGTGGCACAAGCCACACAAGGTATGTTCATAAGGCCAGCGTCACCTCTCTTTATGCAACACTAAGGAACATGTTTATGGCAGAAGTGCTTACCAAAAGCTTACAGTCCCCCTTACAGAGTTCAGTCACCCCTGGAGAGTGGTCACCCAGGCTGGGATTACATTTCTCAGCCCTTTGCTTCCAGGCAGGGATGGTATGTCCAGTTCCCCCCAACAGACTGCAAATGAAGTGGCTGTATGCCACTTACAGGACAGGGTGTTTAAGACGTGGGCATGCCTCCCCACCCTCCCTTCCCCCACCTATCAGCTGGATGGATTTCAGGGTCCTTGAAGGACAGCGGACCAACGGCGTGGAAGAGACCCGAGTCTTCTAATCACTGCATAGAGAAACACCACCCACTGACCAGGACCATCCATCCTCCCTGGGCTATTACATGAGTAAGAAATAGACGTCTTTTGTGCTGAGCTACTGAATATTGAGATTTAGTTGTTACAGAGTCTAGAGGCACTAGAATGAAACAGCCCTCACCTTTTTTGTCATTGACGTTGGATGAAGAAACTGAGGTTCAAGTGGTAGACTGAACTTGACAAGACTGCACTGCGAGTAAGGTGTTAACTCCCACTGGTGCCTCGGTTAGCTTTTCCAGCCCACGACCTTTCCATAATACCCAGCTACCCCATGCTAAGCGCTCTGTAAGTGCTCTGCGAGTCCAGATGAAGAAGGTTCAGGGGAAAATACTCTGAAAACCAAGTCGCACTTGTCACTTCCTTTCTTGTCCACGGACCCTTTTCTTAGCCAGGTTCGCCCCATCCAGAATTTCATTTTCCGTGGAAACAGAAAGCAAATACAGTAGCAGACATCACTAACCATTCTCGAAGCCTTGTCATTACTTTGAAATATGCTAAAATAGCCCGTCTCCTCCACCCCCGGGGTCCCCAGCTCCCCACCTCCCGGTCCGCTGTCTGTTCTGTTCATTTTGAGCACCACCCACGGCCAGACATGGCCAGGCCGCTTCACAGAAGCCAAAAAAGTTATCAGAAATGAGTCCTGGGTTTGACAGAGAGGCCAGATGTGCAGACAGGGGTATTTCAAGGCCCTCACTTCCCTGCTCATAATTAGTCAGCTTCTGTCATTGATGAGAATCTCCAGATGTCACAAAACAGTGACCTTATAGGGCAACTCCCATGAGGCAGGGCTGCTTCGGCACCCATCGCAGTATTCTAGAATGTGAGCATTGATTGACAGCTTCAAAATACTAGCCACCCTTCTGTTTAGTGATGAGGACAAACTCCCAGAGAAAAGATACTTAATCTGTCCAGCTACTCTTTGTATATTCAATGCACATCTCCTGTGTGTCACCTTGGAAAACCAAGCTTAATGAGCGAGGTAGACATGTTTATTTCAGGTCCACACATTTTCAAGGTCCCGTGACCCCTCGGATTCTCATCTTTCACAGGACCAACAGCCACCACAGCAGTCATGGCCGTCCAAAACGGCGTGCATGTACATGGCTGCCTTTCCCAGAGACTGTGAGGATTTCTGCAAAGATCTTCTCACCTATGTGACCCATTTAACACAGATTCTCAGGATGTGTCACGTCGACGGAACTGAGCTAAAAGAAGGAAGGGAGAGGAGACAGAGGGAGAGGCACAGGGACGTGAAGGTGGCCCGTCCAGAACCACAGACCTAGCTAAGACCAGAGAGGGGCGTGACGTCACGTGGTGCCCCACTGGAGCCGGACCCCAAGTCAGGAGAGTTGGAGGGAAAGATAAATGAAATCACTTCTGCAAATCAAAAAGCAATCAGCACAGGCAGGCTGGGCAGACCCTGGGAACAACGCGGACCCAGCCTTCACGCCTCATCACGATAACCACAGACCACGTGCACAAGTCCGCCCACACCAACACCAATTCTGTGATTCCTGGCCATGTGAAAAGGTGTGAAAACACGGATGCCCAGGCACAGCAGAGATCGGGGTTCAAGCCTAGCCTGGCCTTTACTATTGACCGAGTCGATAAACCCCTCTGCCCACATGCTCCTCTTCCGTCACCCACGGTGTAGCGATGGCTTCTTTATTCACTCTCCCATTCGGCAACTGCATGCTGGGCATCGGCTACGAGGATGCTAAATGAGTCAGATGGAATAATGCGTATGAAAACTGCTTTTGGACATGCAATGCATTCTACAAATGAGAAGGTACGGTCCCTGTGTGCAATGATTAATCCTGAGCTCACAGAAGCTCAGGACCCAGAGGGACCTTCCAGGGTCACACCACAGGGCAATGCTTGGATTCCGTCCACCCCAACCCCTCTCAGCAGCCATGTGGTCTCTACAGGGACATTTCCAGCAAGGTACGCAGA